TCTTTTAATATATGTGAAAAGGTGTGGCATATACAGATCAGAAAACATAAAACAGTAAAAATTGACTACAATACAAAATACTTACGATTAAACATATTATTTAAATAAATAGATATAAGTATATCTTAATTTCAAGAATCCAAAAATTTAAAATTAAATTAAACAATTCTGGCTCTGCTGTATCATACATTTTTTTATCTATACTTGCTATACACATATGTGTACATTAGGTACATTGCTAATGAGGTAATATAATTCTTAATAATTACAGATGATTTCAACAAAGTGGCATTTATTTTTCATTCTGACCTGGACACTTTTCCTTTGATTTGTCTCTTTTTTGAAACATAATTGTACCAAAAAAGATACTTTAAGGAAAGCCCTACTAATATAATTGCTAATGGCCTCTTAGAATTCATTAGTCATTTAGTAACAGTGGTATTTTTATCCTTTGGAGGTATTACTTGAAACTTGATTTCACCATTTTTTGTCCTTTTTTGCACAAGTCTTGCACTACTTCCTATTTTAGCTTCTAAATCTTTATAAATCTTTTCCTGCAATAGAAATTATAATGGAAAATTTAATTCTGTTTCTTTTTAATTCATTTGTACTACTTACAGCCTTACTCATATCATTATCACTTCCACTAATAACAATCCGTACTTCAAGTTTCTTACTGATCCACTTCAATATTTTTTTAGAATGAATACCCAAATCGTGATCACTTATTCCACTACCAATAAACAATATTTTCTCCCCCTTTGTAAAATCTGATGATTGTTTCTTTTTTTCTTCTTTGTGTTTTAAATCTTCAATGTGTAATTGTGCAGCTGTCATAAGCTTGTAAATAGGCCTTTGTGTTTTCGTGTCTAAATCGACAATTTTTACTAGCTTTAAATCCCTTCTTTTTGAAATATTTTGTGCTTCTTCTAATGTAGTAACAGTCACACTATCATTATCTGCGTTTAGTAAAGTTATTTTAGGAATAGGAATGGTCTTCTTCTTCGGCTTTTTGCTTTCTTCGTCGTCTAATGATGTTTGATTAATTGGTTTTGATAAAAAACACTTCGAATGAATAGAGTTATTTAAAATGATGCAAGCACTTCTATTTAGAAAAGCACTTCTTATATTTTTCAACACTAAAGAAGTCATAATCATAACAACGTTAATATAGTTTTAAGGTTAACGCGATTCCAACCACAATTAAACAGGGAAAAATGGAGCACCAACAAAATAATTCGAAAGTACCCGTGTAAATATTCAAATAATTTTATCTACTGCTACTATTTTAGAATTTCTGAAATATCGCTTTTAGTATGTTCATAAGTTTGCAATGTTAACTTAATTTATTTAAAAGCTCTGACACTTCTATTTTTTTACCACTTTCTGATAATTTTCTTTTTAAAAGTGGTGGTAAGCCTGTTGTTTTTTTGTGTTGTAAATATTCTAATCTAACCTGTTCTAACCGCGAATTTCGTGTTATCCACGCAGAAGAGCTGTTTTCGGATTTTAAAAGCCATTTCTAAATAATTTACTGTTTTTGTTTTTCATTATTTTGATGTTTAAATAAAAGTTCGGGATTTGCTAAACATTTAATTGAGTGGTGAATGGATTTTACAAGTACACAAAAGACTTCTGTTGATACCGAAGATGACAATGTAGAGAAATTTTTCCAAACAGTGCCTTACTGTGAAGAAAATCTGTCTACTAATATAACATACGAATATTTAACTGACAGCGATTTGAGTACAGACTCTGATGTTGATAAAAATCAAACAAATATGGGTTCTTTCACAGATGCAAATGAAAAAGATAACAAAGATGATGAATGTTTCAGAATTAAAAAAACTCCAATGAAGCCAAAGAAACAGTCCTGTGATAGCTTTTCCAATTCCAATATCACTCTTGCAAGACAGAATGCAGAAATTACTAATAAACACATTACTGAGATGGATTATGACCATATTGTAAAATCATCTGAGAAAATTGAGAACAATTCCATCTATTCTTTTTCCTTAAACCCTCCAAAACGATTATCATACTCTCCTCAAAAGATTGCCAGGGTTCATTCACATTCTGCATCTTTAAGAACTTCTTTTTCATCAAAAAGTAATGAAATGAGAAGACACTCTAGTAGTTCCTTTAATTATACAGGATTTAACAAATCATTTTCTGAAAACCAACAACAAGAATCAGTAAATTGCAATTGTTTGACTGGTAATTAAAAAATTCATAAGTGTTTAAACTTTTAGGTACCTTTGTATAAAGGCTATCAGTTAATTGGTGATAGCCAATTACTTAGATTTGCTGAACAAATGTTGGATATGAAAAAAAATGTTATATACCCTTCATTAGGTAAATCAAATACTGAGTACTACATATTAATTCATCATTGACTTTTATTGTTTCTTCTTATATTGCCACTAATAATTTTACAGAAAATGGGAAAAGTAGAAGGATAGGCTATTGTGTAAGTGGACAAAATCTCAATGATTTGAAAAGAAGACTTCTAGAGGGTGAATACAAAATTCACAAAAATGTGATTGTTCTTATAGGTACTAACGATATGCTACAGGTAACTGCACAATTAAGATAAAACTTCCAAATCCTTATTTTCTGTTTATTTTTAGAAGACAAGTATATGTGCAATGTTTGAATCTTTTGAGAAAATTTTAAGTATTTTAAAAAAATCGGCAAATAAAATAGTTTTTCTGACTGTTCCTCCAGTGCCTAAAATTCACTCAAAACATGTTTTGAAAATTTTAACAGATTTTAATAAGTATATAATTGAGAAGGCAGATGGTAAGAACACATAATTAAAAAGAAAGTATTGCTGAGTAACTTTTTTGTTTCAGGAAAAACTGTTTTTGTAGTTGATCTATCCAGCCATTATGTTGGATATGATAATCAAGTAATGAATGATTATTATGAAAGGTAATAATAAAATGTCTGAAGGCGACAGGGATGAACGTATCCCGCGGGCTCAATTCACTTTGTTTATTATTCCACCAGTAGTATATACGATTTATGAAATAGCAATTTATATTTTTTTTTCAGTTCGTTCTTTGATGGGCGGCCCGACCTTATTCACTTGAACAAAAAAGGTTTTAAATTTCTCAGAGACATTTTGGATGTTAATTATTTTGACGAACTCAACTAATTTTAGTGTGGTTACACTTTTATAAGACAATAAAATATTATCACCTACATTGATAATGCTTTCCAGCAGTATTAAAATAAATTTTACATTTTATATTTTTAATGAATTTCTTTGATTGTAAGTGTAGCTACAGCCTCTATGCGNTCAAGTAAAATGCTCCATTTATGAAGTAAAACTTACTAATTCAACTATTAGACACAAGAAGGGGAAATATATCACAATTAAATTAAAAAACTTAGTTGGCATTATTAAAAATACTTTTAATTATAGTAACTTCTAGTTTAAATTATTTTTAATATTAGATAAAATGCGACGTAATGAGATTGTGCAAAGATCTAGTGGAGTTTTTCCATCATGATTAAGCATCTCAGCATCTGCCCCATGAATCACCAACAGTTTAGCTTCCTCTTGTCGATCCTCCTCACAAGCCAAATGCAAGGGTGTATTACCATATACATCCCTAGCATTCACATTGGGCTTTTCAAACTGACTCAGTAGTAATTTAACCACAGATAAGTTACCTTTGGACGCCGCCCTATGCATAGGGGTGGCACCTCTTTTATCAGAAATGTTGATATCTGCTTTATACTCCAACAACTTTTCAACAACCTTTAAAACAACCAGAATAAATTTATTTTGGTGTTTCATTTCTGTTTAGGATTAATGCCTGTCTTTTCTTAAGTTGAATATCTATAAAGATAGCATACAATTATAATTATTATAGGACTTACCTCAGTCCATCCTTTTGAACATGCATACTGTAGTGCAGAATGACCTTGATCAGTCTTCGTATTAGGATTTGCTCCATAAGTTAAAAGTAGTTTAACAATTTCAATTCTTCCAGCTGACGATGCCAAAATTAAAGGGGTACTTTCAGTATCATCCAACGGGTCCACAGGAGAGCCAAGTTCTAATAAATATGTGACCAGTCTTACATTTCCACTTAAAGCTGCCCAGTGTAATAGTATCCTATCGTTCTATAAATTACCAGAAAATAATTTGATGAACTTTAAAACGTACAATAAACTTACTGAATCTTTTCTTGTGATGACAGATGAATCCTTTTCAATTTCTGATTTAACAACATCAAAATCTCCTTTGTACGCTGACTCGTAAACACTATCGTCACTCATGTTTATTTCACTTTTCAAATATATTTCAATAAATAATTATTTAAATATTATCTGTTTCTTTT